CAGTGGCTGAAACCTCCCTAAATCATTTTGCATGTCAAGTGCCGACAGCTCTGAGAGCTTATACGGGTCTGCCGCTATAAAACGCATCCATATGGAGGCTGCTGGGCTGTTCTCTGGATCTCATGCCATTATCAGCCCATACATTACCTCTTTTATGGGCCCAGTAAGGAGTCTGATGAAACCATACCAGAGTCATGCCAGTAGATGAGCATTATCCTCAGATATCAAATGCATGCTTCATGTTTTTTTACAGAGCTGTGAGGAGCCCAATGTTCCTAGCCGCGTGTTGCGGCCTTAAATATTAAACTTCCTCCAGAGATCTCGCAGCGATATGAGATATTAGGCTCCTAATTCCTGCTGACTGGTACAAGCAGATGTTGAACGTCAGGTTAAATGAAGACAGAATAAGTGTCTGAACTATCATGTTCTCCAGGTCAGACGGGGTCGGTTTTCATATCGCGCATTCGTGTGGTGATAAAGCTGGGTTACGAGGCTGGACACGATGCCCAGGATCCAGACACAACATTTACTGTATTATGGGTTTGACAGTGATGAACAGACCGTAGGATGACTGAACCATCACTACTGTAAGTTATGGGTCTGTTTTGATAGAGCTGACTGGGCAGTAATGGTATCATGTTCATGCATCAAATGCAAGTCAGGTCTTTCCAATGAGGTCATGAAAGCTTACACAGATTTGATTCTTCATGAAGTTTAGTTATATTAAAGTGTTATCGATACTTTATCATCTACATCAAATTGATTGAATTCAGGGAGGCTATTTATGCAACTGAATAAGTTTAGTCCAGTGTAACTGCTAATTTACATCTATCTTAGTGTATTTTCTTGACCACTGATATACAGTACCAAAAGGTTGGACACACTTGAATGGATTTATTGTATTATATCTAATGGTATATGCTTATATGACTCAGATTGTATGAATTTCATTATTACAATTTTTTTGAAATTATTTTATTAAGAATAGTATTTGTTCATATAAAATATTACATTACAGGAATATAATAATATTGTTTATATAAAATATGTTATATTCATTTTACAACAACATAATTATATTCATATTTTTTTATTTGTCTTATATACAATATATAATAAAGTAGAGCAGCCAGCCAGCAGCTAATTCTGTATACATTTACATTTCTAACAATTAAAAACATATTTAATGAGTTGTTTTAAATAAGTTTTTACATGATTAAAATAGCAAACAAAAGAAAAAAAAGAAAACCATATTTACAGAAGTCATTCAAAGTGTTTAATAAGCATTAAAATATATAAAACTATATATACACACACACACAATTTTGGCCAATTTTCCATTGAAATAAATAAATTAATACTTTTTATTCTAAAATATAGAAAATAGTCATAGAAAGAATGAGTAGGTGTGTCCAAACATTTGACTGCAATTTAGTACATTTAATTGATTGACTTTCTAAAAATGTTAACAGGTTTAATTCAGAATAACCAACTCAAAGTCTTGACCTAGGATATACCTTTTCCTGCTCTTGTGTCCCTAACAGGTAAAAGCATCTGTCGGCTAATGGCAACGGTGTTTCACACGTCCCAGAGTGCAACACTATCCTCCAGTTACTCATCAGTTTGGTCTCAATCTGTGAGCCGCTGAGTGACTGCACTTCCTCAGGCCGAGTCTTATCAGTAACACGACACCTAAACCTCTGTTTATCTTTACAAACCCACGCTTAGTACCTGATCTCTGAACTATTTGGAAATTAAAAAGCATGAAGCCACACAAACAATAATATTTTCCACATACTTCCAGCATTGTATAGATAATTGATATAATTGATTGTATAGAGCATTGATTTGAAAGAACTGATGCATGATTTCAAAACCCCTCACCTTACACAACGTCCTTTTCCCGGGATTCTTGGGCAAGGATTAGGTGTCAGATGTCAGTAGAAAGTGATATTTCCTCTTCCTGCTCTGGGAAAACAGGATTAGATTAGATTAGATCAGATTATCAGATTGGATTAGATTAGAATAATCTTAGTCAAACCTCTTGCACTGAAGTCTCAACAGTCCGTGTTACGATGAAGCTCTAGTTTAGCTTGCTGAGTTTAAACCTCTGATTATAGTTTTTCCTCACTGGAGGAGGACTAGAAGAACATCAGCACCCTCTGAGACCCCCACAGAGAGGCATCCTGGCCAATCCCTGCCCCAGGGCATCCTCACCTCACATACAGGAGCCTGGCACCTGGGAGATGGGAAAGGTGAAGGGTGAGGGGCCCCAGGGGCCCCGCGGTCAGCCTGGACCTTCAGCAACGGGGCAACACCTTCAGCATGGAAGTCAGTGTCCATCTGTGGGGAAAATATTCAAGATTTACTACATGACACATAATGGTAGAGGTCAAGAAAATAAAAAATATGCGTAAATTCTGACTACTTATGTTGTCTTTTAAATGCAAGATTAAAAATAAATCAAACAATATCAGAAATTACCAAACGCACCAATTATAGAATATTTACAAAAATAGAAGAAAACGAAGATTCCAACAACACTCCTACATATATTGGCAAGAAATAAAAAAGGATACAGTTCGTTGAATGCACTTAGATCTTATTTGTTTGTTTGTTTATGAATGAATGAATGAATGAATGACAAAATGCCCCAAAACTGTTACACTCACTGGGGTAAGATTCCACAGTGGAATCTGCCATTAAAACGATTATTATAAAAAAATTTATCAGCAAAAATACAAAAACATCAATAAATTAATGAATAAATAAATTGGCCAACCAATATTGTAAATAATAAATTGTATAAAGTCATTTTAAACACGTGACAGCTAGCTCTATGACGGCGAACCTTTAGGCTAATATCGATTTTCATTATATACCAACTTGCTAGACACGTAGTCTGAAAAATATGATGACAGCTTGCTTGGATTATTCATATTATTGGCTATTTTAGCATCGGCTTTCGTGAGGTATCGATGCTTGATGACGTCGGTATCAATCTGTAACACGTGAAGAGAGTTTCACAGTCCCACAGTTTGGACAGTAATTCATGCAAATGGTCAGAAACCAGCGATTATAAGGATGAATAAAAACAAACAAACAGTTTTTTGATTTCTGTTACTTTAACTGCAATTGTACAGTTCTGCTTGTCCATTTATGGAAAAATGCGTAGAGACTAGCCTACAAGGGGACATTTTAATTAAGCAAATTTTCGGTGTTTTCAAAATAAATAAATAAAACGTAAACATTAAAAAAAAACATTAAAAAACATGATATCACATGAGAAAACTTTGAAACAAATAGAACCACAGACCCTAACATGCATAACATGGAAATAAATGGCTTAAATACTGATTAATGATATTTAGAATCAGTTACACTTACTCTACATCACACCTCTTGAGAAATAAGGCCAATCTACCCCCCCCCCCCCCCCCCCCCCACCCACCCAAAATCACCACATTACTTTTTTCTCTTT